GTGATGGTGTGCGAAGTAGTTGTGTTGGTGATGGTGTGCGAAGTAGTTGTGTTGGTGATGGTGTGCGAAGTAGTTGTGTTGGTGATGGGGCGTGCAGTAGTTGTATTGGTGATGGGGCGTACGGTAGTTGTATTGGTGATGGGGCGTTCAGTAGTTGTGTTGGTGGTGGGGCGTACAGTAGATGTGTTGGTTATAGGGGGTACAGTAGTGATGATTGTGGCAGGATGGGCAGTAGTGGTGATGGTGGTGGGTTGTGCAGTTGTTGTCTTGGTGGTGGGCTGTGTAGTAGTGGTGATGGTGGTGAGGCGTGCAGAAGTTGTGTTGATGGTGGGGCGTGCAGTAGATGTGTTGGTTATAGGGGGTACAGTAGTGATGATTGTGGCAGGATGGGCAGTAGTGGTGATGGTGGTGGGTTGTGCAGTTGTTGTCTTGGTGGTGGGCTGTGTAGTAGTGGTGATGGTGGTGAGGCGTGCAGTAGATGTGTTGGTGATAGGGGGTGCAGTAGCGGTGATGGTGGTGAGTCGTGCAGACGTTGTGTTGGTGATGGGGCGTGCAGTAGATGTGTTGGTGATAATAGGGGGTGCAGTAGTGGTGATGGTGGTGAGTCGTGCAGTAGTGGTAATTGTGGTGGGGTTTGCAGTAGTTGTGTTGGTGGTGGGGGATACAGTAGTTCTTTTGGAGGGGGTTACAGTAGTGGTGTTGCTGGTTGGGGATGCAGTAGTTGTGTTGGTTGTGGGGTGTGCAGTAGGTGTGTTGAGGGGTGCAGCAGTGATGATGGTGGGTGCAGTTATGGAGCTGTCACACCTGATGGAGACAGACAGAAACATGATGAGCTGCTGTTGAGGCCTGTAGCCACCAGGGGGCACTCTATTATTTAAAAAGAAATTTAACATATTTACGTGTTGTTGCTGAGACAAATCTGCATGGGTCCACAGGTGGACACACTGAGGACAGCAGTCTCATTACAGTGGACAATCTCACAGCGCTCATGAAGAACTGTTGTTGTACCAGGTTTATACACAACACCTGAGAAGTGAATGAGATTCTGTGTTAGTTTTCAAACTGACAGATTTCTCAATGATTTATCTTCTGTAAACAAAAACAAATATTAATGTTCATGTTTGGATTCATAAATTTATTGACCTTCATGTCTGCAGCCACTGATGTCTAAGAAGTCTAAAGGTAGATCGTTAGGGTCAGTGTTTGCAACATTGAGTTCATGAACTTTGGTCCCATTTATCAGAACATCAACAACCTACGAAACAACAAAATATTAAAAACACAGAACAGAAACAACTGAAGTCACATTTTATGAGAATAAAACTGATAAAACTTTTGATCTAATCAAACATCAGATCCTGATAAACAAGGTAAAGATTATATTTAGATCATATTTTAATGTAAATTCAATAAAATGTAATACAAATTTTCAGTTTTAATAAAAGACAGACATACAGCTGGACCTGCAGAGAGCAATTGGAGCACCAGAGCTGCTTGTGACCCAAAGTTTGCTGCAGCAAATTGAACCTGCAAAAAATAAACAATATGCAACATTTTTGTTTCTTAAATCCACACTATTTCTGTCTATATAGGCTATTAGAACAAATGGACTGAACTTATAAAGAGCTCGAAACTAAATATAAAACTCTAAAATTTCAAACAATCTAAAGAATTGAACAGTGATTCCAGATGTTTTCTGTTGATTTCAGTTCTTAAAAATCGAAACAAAAATTTACATAAAAAAAACACTCACACTGTTGTTCAGACCAAAGGCTATTAGGCATTTCATTGGAGTGTTGATGCTCGGCAGATTCTGGAGGAACAGCTGTGACACTGCATAATCTGCAGGAGAAATACTATAACTTGCTTTATTATCTGCTGGAGGTGCCAGCAGACAGTCTCCTCCCACCTGAGGGTGGTAAAAACCATCGAAACAAACGGCAAAGTTTTTACTGGTGAAGTTCACCTGAAAAAGTCAGAAACACAAAATAAATAAATAATTAAATAG